TGGAAGAATCTCCTAGGCCTTATCAAATAAATTATATTCCCAGCCCCAAACAAGAATATTTTATATTTAATGTAAGATTGGATGAGTTATAAGCCCCCTGTATTTCCTGGAATCTGTCTGTATGACATAATATCAAAAAGGAATAAAAATAAAAGCAGAATGCATGGATGTGTTAACCATAGTAAAAAATAATTTTGTCTTTGAAATAAGTAGTTAAAATTTTTGATATTGAGAGTTGTTTCTGCAATTGAGGAACTACTTATACAAAAAAGTTTTCTAATACTATCAAATCATTACTATCTAGGTAACAGGCTGTTTTAAATTTAAAGTTATTTCTAGTGATTAGATGATCAAGAACAAAGTATGAAAGAAATTACCTTGGCTCAAAGTCTAATCTATAAGCATACTTTCCCTAGACATAATCTGCCTAAATTGAGTGTAGTGAAAAAATCACAACCTAAATGGAAGCCACTGACTAGTTAAATTCATTTCTTCAGTAAGTTACTTACTCTTTCTTGGCCAGTTTCATCACATGCTAAGTGAGAATAAAATGTTGCTCAGTTTATCTTGTTTCAGAAGGTTATAATGAGCATTACATAAAGAATGTGTGTGAAAACACCTTGTAAATTTAAAGCATTGCATACACTATGTTATGATTGCTAATACATCTTTAGATCTATATGTCTATAGAAAATAAAATCTAAAACATAATTTTTAATCATGCATGTAATACAATTAATTTAAAATTAAAGAAAAGAGTTAAGTCTTATAAAAGTCTCACTAGACTAAAAGATTTTAAGAGGAAACAAACTAGCTAAAAGATGACCACTTTGTGGGCCTATTCAATTGACTTCCATTTGTGGGAGTGTTAAACCCAAGAGAGTGAGTTGAGATGTGATGAGAATGAGTCAGCAAAAAAGAGGGGACTTGTATTTCTGACATAAAAATAATTGTGGAATTTAGTTGCTTAGGTAGAACTTTTTAACTATGTAAGCTAAATCTATTACAGTGCCCAGAACTTGCACATCCTGAGTTTTTTTAGTCAATGTCTGTGGAATGAATGAATTTTCTATATGAGTAAATCAGAATCTTGAAGGTGACTTACCAAGGTGCATAACAAATAGAACCAAGACCAAGTCCAAGGCAGAATTCCAACCCCAAATTCTCTACATACTGCCTTCTTTTGATAAGGTCATGTTACCTCTGATTTAGAAAAATGTAGCCATGGGGACTGGGCACCTGAGCCTGTTTCTCTTCACTACGTTACAGTGTTCAGATTGAGGGCTAACAGGTTCCAGTTAGTAAGAACATCCTTTCTAGTTATCATGAAGAGTTGTCATCTGTAGAGATAATGCTAGATTCAGTATTTCAAGTAAATGAAAAGTTCAATATGACAATAAGATTAAACTCCCAGGGAAGCTTTGATTCTTAGCAGCAGGAAGGAGCAATGCCTGAGTCTAAGCTGCAGGATTTGCACATGGGAAAGGAACCACAAGCAAAGGTCAATATCTCAAGAGACTAATACATGCATATTTTGACAATGTCCTGTGTTCACACTGTTTGGTTCTGAACTATTATTTTAATATATGTGAATATAAAAGTGTGAAATAGAAATTATATATTTATTTTAGAAAATTATAGACATAACAATATATTAAAGTGCATTGTTCCTGTTATTTCCCCACAATTGGTGCTGTTATATGAGCTCCTCCAAGGAGAGGCAGTGTAAACAGTTTCACTTTCAGCAACAGGCATTAGAGCAGAAGACTGCCAGTGCTCGCAGTGGCAGTGGGGTTACCTTAGATCTATTATCCACACACAGTGTGCCTTACAACCCATGGATTATGCCTTTGAGCTTCACTTTATGCCATTTATTTACTGCCTGACAACCTGTTTTAACCCATGAAAGTGTACAGGTAATAATCCTGAGTCTGCTACAAAGAACATAAAAATCATATGTTTTTAGAAATTAGTAGTACTTAGAGCTGATTGGTAATATATAACATGAAAACTCGTGGAGTATAAGCAGTGCAGTACTTAGAGTGAAGTTTGAAATACCTATTTTGAAAGACATATTCACAATTAATGAGTTAAGCATGAAACAATGTGTTAAAAGACATGATTAACACATGTAAAAAAATAATTTATGTTAAAAGCAGTTATTAAATCTAAGACAACAAAAATACAATTAGAGACAAAGCCAAAAGTTGGTTCTAACCTCTGAAAACTTGATTAAAGAAAAAAGAAATATAAAAATAAATAACATTAAGAATGAGAAGAGGCCTTTACTATGGATTTAGTAAAGATGAAAAACATAAGTTTTATGAACCATGGAATGTATTAGCAAAAAAGTTAATGATATACATGTCCTACAACCAGCAATTCCATCAGGGTACAAACTCCAGATAAACTTTCACACATACTGTATTCAAGTGTGCTCAGAATTCAGCCTGCCAAGATGAATGAAGAGATCTAGATGGCTCCTGTCAAAGCATGGGCTCTGCCCAGGTGACAGCTACTTAGACTTGGAGTCGATGGATCTGCAGAAAGGCAATTAGCCAAACTTCTGTGACAATAGTACCCTGTGCTTGTCATAGATAAGTGCTAACTTGGTTTTCCAAGAGCTTGGAAACACCAGGAGGAGAGAGGACTGCCATACACTGGAAAGAGGGACTCTCATGACTGCTGCTTTCTGAGCCTTCATCTCTGGCATGCTCGGAGGTGATAACCTGTAACCCAAGGCAGCAGCCTCCACAGTGCTGAGATTTAGGCTGAGGAACCATATAAGCACACTTTCTACTTGAGGTTTCTATTCCAGACACGTAGCTACAGGGGCAATTTTTATATAACAGCAGAAATGTTAAAAGCTGTTTGCTAAAAGTGTCTTTTGCAACCTGTAACTTAACTTGAGAAAGAAATTACTGTTTAGCTATGTTTTGGTGAAGCAACAAAGTTCTACTGTGTAATTATTATGGGATCATTCTAGGAGTAAATATTTGAATCTGTGTTTTCTCTCTCAGGATAAGACTAAATTATTTTTTTCAAGGCTTTAAAATTCTTCTCTCAGTCATCATTTCATATTGTGAAACACCACTCAAAATACATCGTAACTCTTATGTTGCGGAACATTCTGTGGATGGTGGAATATTCCCCTCTTGAATTTTAAGATTGAACAATTCAGAAGGTTTTGTACTCTTCTAATAGTACACAAACATTTTTTTTCTTCCTCAGTGCAGATGTGGAGATCCTAATTATAAAGGCCTTGATCTTAGAAAGTTCCTTCTTTCAGCCCTCAACAGATGATTAACGCCATCAATTATTTAATAGACTTTTCTTTCCTTGGATTTTATGCTAGGTTGATGTTTACTTTTTAATCTCAAATTTACTTAGAGATAAATATAAGTTGAAATTTGTTCTTTTCTTTTTTAAGTATTGCTGTTGTTAACTCATTTCTTCCTTTTGTACTTTGTGTGTAATAAACAGTTCTATTTGGGATATAAGTGGCAAATTCAATTTCTCAACTAGACACAGAATAACTGTGTAGCATATAAAGTTCTGACAAATAAGGCCATAAAGTTTAAAAAATGATCTCTAAGATAAGGATTTTTTTCTCCAAAGTTGCTTAATGGAAATGATTTTTATAGTTCTAAATCTTAAAGTATCACCAGCAAATAAATGCAGTTTGACACATTCTACATATGTGTAATTATGTATAGTTTATTAGTCTGAAAGGTCTACTGAACAACACAGATTTTCAGGCAAACACTAAATGAAATCTTGATGGGAATATTAAAAATAGAATTTAAGTATCAAATGAGTGATTCAATTAATCTTGAAAGTCACTTACGTCCCTGAGAATCCCTATGTTTATATTAAAATAGTGGAGAATTTATCTTAAGGACACGGTGGCCTAATTTGACCTATGAATTTAGAACAGTTGTTCATACAAATACAATTTTTTTTCAGGTACCCTAGTAAAATATCATTATGAAGTTACTGAACAATAACACTACAAAAACAACATTAATTTGTCCCCACCATAAGCATATTATGACAGTCCTATATGCACAGGTAAAATGAACTGTCCTGTTCTGAGGTGGTGGGCAAGAGAGCCCACCTAAAAGGCCCTGACTGACTAGGTCATTCACTTATCTGTAGTAAACTCATTTCCAGTTAGTGAGTAGAGGTATTTTGGCAGTTAACTACTGGAGACTGGGATCCAGGCCTCCAGTCCCACCACTGATCCCACAGGTGTGGTAAGTTGTTCATATATTTCTGTGTCTTTGCTGCTCCTTCACAAACAGACTATTTTAAAATCTACCTCACAAATGACTATGTAACTTGTACATCTCTAAAAAATAAACTGTGGTATCCGGGGGAGGAGTCAATTCTCCCTCAAGGGAAAATTTTCATCATTTATGTCTTAAGTTGACTCAACTTCAGTTGTAACTACTGGGGAATTACTGAGTTTCGGAACAAAACAATTGATTCAGGTTAAAAGATTTCAAGCTTTAAAAAACAATTAATGTATTTTTCCTTTCACCCACAGGTCTACCCACGGATAGCGCCGGCATTTTGGCACTACCTGCGGGTAGAAGTGAGTAGCGGGTATTTGAATTCTCTCACCCTTGTTCCTTGCAGTCTGCTGGTGTGTCTGACCTAATGTGCCCATTTGCTCAAGGTGCAACTGCCATTCTGTGTAATGTGCTCTCACACCACCACTGTTCCTTAGAGTTAAAGCAAAAATCCAAATTACCAAAAATGCAAGTGCAGTTCATGTAAGATAAATCATCTCCCTTAATAAATTTCCAGTCAAGACCATGTCATACGCATCATGATGATAAATAACTAAATGCTAAATTATGGAAAACCATGCTTACACTTCTTTTTAATCAATGCTTTTGATATTCAGAGCATAATTCCTCAACTTAACTTTGGAATGTCTCTAGGAAAAAGTCAATTAACTCTGCTCATTTCCTTTTACCTCTTTCTTTCTCCAGGAGCATGAGCAGCTCACCTATTCTTCCACGAGGTCCAAGGCCCCTAGCGTCATCATCACAGGTCTCAAGCCGGCCACCAAGTACATATTTCATATCCGAGTGAGGACAGCAACAGGATACAGCAGCTACAGTCAGAAGTTTGAATTTGAAACTGGAGATGAAAGTAAGTTTCACACAGGGATATAAAGTAAGATGTTAATTAAACATTCCCAAATTTTGAATGGTCTCATCAAACAGGATTCTGTTCATGTAAATACTCATAGTCATTTCAGTTAATGTTTTGGTGCTATCATGAAATATCTCTATGAACTGCCTTACTCTATCAAAATTATAATGTGGCCCAAATATGTCTCTTTATGAAAAATGCATCGCTTACATTATAACATAAAGAGTCTCAATGGGTGGTGTTAGTCTAATTGTTCACCAGTCTTGGCATCATAATATGATACTAATGAAAACTTGGAAGAGAATAAAGCCATGAGCAAAAAGCCATAGCAGCTAGTTCATAATTGTACAGCTTTGGCTTATTATCTCAGGTCAATAAAAACAGTGATCAGGAGACAGACTCCATTGAAATGCTCATTATGAATTTAGATATAGATGTGTGGGCTTACTTAGAAACTCAAATTAATTCCATAGCTTCAGTGTATTAAAAGCCAAAGTGGGAAATGAAGAGAGTAAGGTATTCCAACATTATGTAACGTAGGCTTTGAAATGTCTTAATGTAAATCCTGCTGTCCCACTGAATTATTTTTTGCTTTTAGAAATCCATCTTACTGCTGTCTTTGCAAGGCTTATATATGGGTAGCTTTTGCAATGATCCTCAATGGAAAAATGTCCAAATATATTAATTGTAATAAAAATCTTTTCCCATCATTGCTAAAATACATATATTCATATAGGAATTCAAGAACAGAAAATTTATTATTAAAATGTTTATGAATAATGTTAAAATAGCTACCATTCATTGAGTCTCTACTAAGTGCCAGAAATGATGTGAAGTATTTTACATGTATTATCTCGTGTAGACCTTTCAACATTCAATGAGACAGTATTATGCTTCTAATCTTACTTATGAGAAAACAGAAACCTAGAGAAGTTGAACCATTTGTCCAGATTCATACAGCTCATAAAAAGCTGAGCTAAAATTGAAACTAAGGGCCATCTTCTTCCAAGGCCTCTGCTCTTCACTACTCCACCATCGTGTCAAGTTCTTTCATTTGAATTATTATAAAGTGCTAGTGGTAAGGCCACTAAATACACTGCAATTCTTCCAGTTAATCACTTCCTCAAAGTGAAGCCACTGGGGTTCAAATTCTATGAAAGAAGGAATGTTTGTTGTTATTTTTACATTGCGAACAATATAGATGTATAACTTCTTTTACAATTATATCTATCTAAAAAAGAGAAAAGCACTGACACATAAGGAAAAAGGAGAATGGCTTAGGGAGCGAGTAAAGTAATGAATAAAAAGAATGCTTATAACCTGGATGTTTAATAACAGTGATAGTCATTTATAATCCTGCTGGAGACTATGGACTTATCAAGCAAGACATGAAATTATTGGGAAGTAGTGTGTAATTATCACAAAAAATAACTCCATAATCAGAAACAATATAAAAATATCCAAAGGAGTGTCACTGCATTGTTCTGTTTGCTATTCTTTTCCCCACCCACACATCAAGATTTAGCCTAGGCATAAAGCCAAAGGATGCCCTTCAAGGAATGCATGGGAATAGGAATAGTCATGTCATCATCTGGTCAGGCTGTGCTTATTGCATCCCTGCATCTCAGGTCTCTTACTTTTTTCACAGATGAAGTTCATCTAACTTTCTTTAAGTATGGCGTGTTTGAGCATTCCAACACTAAGTGAAAAATATGCTCTCAGACAAGTTGATAGGTCATTTGTGTTCTCCTGGGACTTCAAGAGAAAGCAGTCTAGTAAAAAAAAAATTCTGATCTAAATAATGAAAACTTAATTTGTTTTAATTCTAAATTTCAACTCATTGCACTTTTAGGACTAGATTTCTTTCAGATGTTATATTAAAGAAAGTACTTTGAAATTCCTTAGCAGAAATTTCCCATACTCACCAATGACTCACTGCAACATTTATTCATTCAACAAAAATGTATAGGACACTTAATATGTGCCAAGCTTTCTGTGAGGCTCTGAGGATAAAAAAGTAACAATAAGACCTGTAGCCTTTGCCTTCACATAATTTATAGTCTAAATTTGTGGAAGTAAAATGAAAATTTAATTTAAAAGTACAAGATTATATGGCATGTACTGTAATAAAGATATGTAAAGGGTTCTCAAAAAGCATGGAAAAGAGGCATGAATGCAGGCTTCTGTAGCAGAACTGAGGGTCATTCTTGAAAGAAGAATATTAAAGCAACAGCAAAAGCATGAGGCCTGAGATGGCATGAAAATTTAAAGAAGAGTAAATAATTAGGTGTCGCTGCAGTGAGAACATATGAAAGGTAAAGTGATGGGTGTTAGAGCCAGTGTCATACAAAGGGGCAAAATGAAGGCACTCTCCTGACCGTGTTCGGAGTATTGGGCCTTCAAAGGAAATGAAGAATCCATGAGAGGGTAACATGGCCAGTAATATGTGGAAGACTCTATGTTGAGTCACAGATTCTCTTTTTAATCCTGACAAAATTCTATCTCCTTTTAGAAAATCATGTGGCTTTACCAAAATCTGGTAACCAATGAGTAGAGGTACAGGATTAGAACCCTAGAACCACTGACACTGACAGCTGCTGACAGCAAAATCATATTCTAAATTACTGATTTGCAAATGCCATGAAAATGACTTATATTAGACCCCTGAAGAAACAAAATGTCTGGAAGAATCTGAAAAATGTGTTTTTCTAAACCTGGGGTTTGGTTACATAGAAAGGCTCCCAAGTCAATTTACAGCCTAAGGGGAATCACTTAAAACATCATTTTTTTATGTGGTTAGCTTTAAATTGCATTTTCAAAGCATGCTGTTTATATCCAGAAGAGGATTTCAATGAATGATATCATAGTAAGATATGGGTAAGTTTACTCCAATTCAAGAATGTAATGATATGGATCCCAGTCTACAGCATCAGTCATTTTCTTTTCATACCCTCCTAGCTCATCTATTAACTTTTATAGCTTTTGTTTCTCAAGTAGTGCCTGAACTACTGTAATTTCAGCTTTATTATGAGATTCTCTTTTGTGTATTCTATTTAATTAACTAAGTTTCAAATACATGCATAGAGATGTGAAGAAAGAATAGGTGCTCTCTCATTTGATGGTCTGGTTCAAATTTTTGAAAGTAAGTAAAATGAAGTCATTTACAATTTAATTCTTTTGAGCCATATCTAATTTTATTTGGTTCAACTTTTACTTTGCTGACAACTAACAAGGCAATAACAGAAAGTATGAAATATTCTTTTTCAAAATCATAATGTTCTTAACCACCTATTTGTGTTCTACAAACATGGCATCTAAAGAACAATGACCATGAGGGAGAGGTTAGGGTGGGGGAGTGGGGAAGGTGAGGGTGATACAGGGCACAAAAATTCTCAGTCATAATATGAGTTGTTCAGGGGGATAATAGTTCATCATGGAGAATATAGTCAATGATTCTGTAACATGTTTCTGTATTGACAGAGTAACCACACTACAGGGGGTGAGGATTTAATAATATGGGTAACTATTGAACCACTGTGTTGTATATTTGAAACCAATATAAGATTGTATATCAATGATACTTCAATTAAAAGAAAAAAAACAATGCTTCCATTTAAAAAAAAAAAAGAACACTCAGTGAACCTGCTTACCTTCTACACCATAGGTTGGATATTTTTCCACAGTCAGAATATTCTGGTGTAAACTGGCTAACACATGTAAAGATTACTACTTATACCTGCCAGCACTATGAAAAGAGCCTAGCTGAACTACAGCTATTAGTTTCTTCTCTCCCTAAGACTATGACTATAGAACAACCTCATTACATATGTGCATATGGAGAGAGAGGCAGATGAATATATGGACAGATAAAAATAGATAACTGATAGATATATAAATAAATAAATAGGTAGATATATAATATATAGTCATAAAAGATGTACCTTTTGTGTTTTAATGCTATCATTTCATATGGGCACTAATCTTTAAGTGGACAAAAAGTGTATAGCTAAATATTATGTCCACTAACAGCATTTATTGAGTACCTTTTGTGTACTGGCCTTTTTATTAGGTGTAGAAGTTGATCCCCTCACCTTTTTCAATTAGATATAACAAAATTGCAATGAACTACAGAATTAGTAATAAGAAAGAATATAGAAATATTCCATGTGGATCTTCTTGAAAGATAGATGGAAAATAGATGAGTGTTGCTTAGGAGCTGTCTAATGTAATAATTTTCTCAATATTAAAATTCATATTATGCCCCAAATATCACAAACATGCATGCACACACACACACACGTTTTATATATAGGCCTTTGGCCTTTATGGATTAAACAACAGGAACTTTTAGCCACCTCACATTTGTTATTACTTCTGTATTTTCTGAATGAAATATGCTTCTTTTCAATGGAGAAAGAGATGAGAATTAAAACTAAAAAGTTATCTACATAACCAATAATATATCCATATCCTTACAAACTGTTTTAAAAAATATTTTGATTCGTTTTAATAAAAATCTGTTAAAATTTTACCTACATTTTTAAAAAGGAATAAAAACAATTTAAAATAATATACAAGGAAGTCAAACATTTTATTTAAAACACCAAGATTTAACTAATATTCAAATATATTTTAAAGTAACAGAAAATTTTATATGTGCATTTTCAAAATCATAATAAAATATATCTTGCTAGAACCTTTTACACAGATACTGGAAAAGATATTGTGAAGCTCTCAAAAGAGAGCAGAATCCACAGCTTAAAGCCAACTTTTGAAAGAAAACTGGAATTCTACATGTGATAATTAGCAATTTACCTCTTCCATTACCTTAATGGTTACCCAAATGACCCAAGAGAATACAAGCAATACATTTCTTTCCCTGAAATAATTAATTATACCTTAAATTTTAACACATAAATTTGCTTTTTCATCTGTTTTTTATCAAATAATTTTTTATCAAATAAGTAATAAAATTATTATTTATCAAAAATAGTAAC